ACACGGTTTGTATGTGTTAGTATTTGAATTGTGATTCCAAAGATCCAAAATTTTGGACATTGTGTTTGATATACTGTATTTGTTATTGTTTCCATCTATAAGACGTGAAAAACCAACAAGCTGTAATGGCGCTTCTTTGTAGAATTTTATTTTTGAATAAAAGTCATACAAAATCATAAACTAATTTTATCGCTAACATAAACATAGTATGTTGGTTAAATACATTTGACATATAGATTATAATTGCAGAAGGTAACCCATTTGCGGGTTCTCTTACATGTAACTCAATTACATAAGATATAAAAAAGTAGTCATTCTGTAAATACTGCAGTCCCGCGGTGGCCAATCACGAGGCGTGGATTTTCAGCCTCTATCTTCCCACCTGCTGATCGATTTCACTTAGTGAAATTTGTAAATAATAAGGCAAGAATAATTTCTCCAATTTCTCAGAGCAAACTTTCAAAATCTTTCTGTAGTAGCGCTTCATACAGTTCGGTGTTTTAGCCGAAACGACTCTGAATCATATTTCCCTGATTGTCAAGTCTTGCTTGTTATGAAAATCATACCTTGAAAACAAACTATTGACTGATTTATAAACAGTATTTTAGAAGAATTGTAAAAGTATACATTTTTAAGATTCAAAGTTATTGCTTTCTTCCTATACCAACTAAAAAGAAATGCAGTGCCTAAAGCTCAAAGATATAATTAACTTTTTACAAATAATAAGTACTTTGTAAATTCTGATGTTTGGTAAAAAGATAAAATACCAAGAAAGGAATGTAGGATCTTATATAAAATCATTTAGGACAATGATGATTCAGTAAGACGTAATTTGTGCGCTGAACCTAACTTATTTTCAATTGTGCTGGTGATTAACATTTAAATTTGAAATAATCATAAATGTATGCTGAGAAAATCGGATGGTTATTTAACGGACAACTAGTGGTTGCCAAGCCGGGCAGCGGATCGAAAGGTCCAAGGTTCGGGCCTTGAAGTCGCTCCACAGACTCTTGGATTAGCCGAATATACCCCAGTGTTTAGCGTGCCGGCCAGAGAATCAAGTGTCCAAGGTTCGCACCACGAAAATCGCTCCACACTTCCAATTGTGGGTGTGTTATAAGAGTACCAGTTAATCCCTTTATTCTATTACGAGTCGGATAAAGCCTATGTAGCGACGGGATCTGCATGACTGACAGCTCTCCCTCTCGTCAGTAACTATACTTGCAAATTAAGGTCAGTTATACCTGAACCCCAGAGGTTTCTGAAACTAGCCATCTAGGACACTTACTCATAAGGTGCTGTGCTGTTCAGGTTGAAAATTACAATTCCAGTTGAAGCATATGTGCTCGAATTAATAATATGTATTTAAAGAAAGGTTATATCGTAGCTCAAGTTAAGGAGGATGTCAGTAAAAAAATAAGAGGTTTATAGGAAGTTTGCCTACATAGATTTTATTTCGATATAAAAAACGCATTCAAAGGTATTTTGAAATTAATTTACCAGATACAAGAACTGAAAGCTCTACCTTAAAACGATAGGAAATATATGAACATGTTAACATTGGATGTTGATCAAACTGAGTATATGCGTGTGTTAGGTATTTATTAAAATATAAAAACGTGTTATCGTTTGAGATTATTCAAAATGGGTAAATAAATGTGCTAATGTTTTAGGTTGGTCGAAATGAGTATACGAATGTGTTAATATTTGAAATTGGTTAAAATAACTATATGAATGTGTTAATGTTTGAAATAGGTAGATATGACTATTTGAATGTGTGTTAACGTTTGAGGTTGGTCGAAACTAATACATGAACTCTTTCACTGCGGACTAGGTTCCAGGGACTGACCTCGTAACCTTTTGTGCATATTATAGTTTTCATGCTCTAGCTTTTAATACAGTTAACGTACCTTTACAAAATTTTGCAGATTATCAGCAAACATTACAAGACTTTCGTACGCAAAATATCAGATTTTATTCATCAAGTAAGATTTTTTAAGTAATGTTTTTCTCGTGCCTTTTTCTTTTCTTTTCTTGACTATCCAACACACAAAATAATTTTGATTTTAAAATTAAAAATTATTTTATGCATCAGAAAAATTACAAATTTCACATGCAAAATCTTTATAGCCTTCAAATAATTACCAAACGTTTTTCTTAGAAAAAAACTTTATATTTTATCTGTTCTTCTGACAATTGTATCTCTGTACGGGTTTGGTCGATTTGACCGACCTCGTAACCATAAAAAATTAGGAAATAGATATAAATTATGCCTTTTTTTCGTTCTATAATGACTCCAAATTGTAACATGAAAACACAAGTGTTTATTCTAAATAGCTTAAATTTCATAACATTAACCTATATATATATATATATTTATTATTTTTATTTTATTTCAATCGTGCCTGACTAACATTGAAGAGGTTGGAATGACGCGGCGCATGTGCATTCATGTTACGGTATCCAACAGTATATAATTGGTCTTTAATTATATATAATTAATATATAATTATATATATATATATAATCAATATATAAGATAATTGGTAAAGTACGTAAGCAAGTACTGTCAAAAATGGAAGAGATGAGCGAGGCCAACTTGGTTAATTCAATAAACATATTAATACCTCAGAAAATAGAAAAGATAGGAGGTTATTATCTTATAATCTAACTTGTCAGTATCTGTAATTTCAGTATTTAATTCGTAAGAAACTATATGCTTTGTACTTGGACATCACAAACATCAAATTTGATCCAATGCTGAATACAGCATACCACGTGACACACAAAAAACGATATTTAGGATTTGTTTTTAATGCTTACTTTTAAATTAAGAAATTAACTAATGTATAATACCAAACTTTGAATTATAATGAATAGTTTGATACCAAAAATGTTGTCATAAATAAATAAAATAGTACTTCAATAAAATTTGTAATGTAAGTCTACAAATGCGATGACATGGCCTTTGACCCATAACCATAGGAAGACCCATGTCGATGGGGTGAATATGCTAACCTTGGAGATTGGTAACTTTTACTCGTGACTGTCATATTGATGATAGATACATCGTTTCAAGCTCTTTTTCAACAAATAGTAAAGATGAGAGTGTACTGTGTTACATAATTCTGTAGAAAGCTAGTCATTCTAATTAAATACAAAGTTACATAAATGGGCAGAAAGCTAGTCGACCTGAAAGTATACTATACATAAATCTGTAGAAAACTATTCATACAGGTAATATATCTCTTACATAAATTTGTGCAAATATCTAGTCATGCTGAAACTATACCGCCTTACTTAAGGGTGATCATACTGCCTAGCATAAGTGTGTAGACAGGTAGTCATGCTTAGAGTATACCAGAATACATTCGTGTGTAGAAGGTAGTTATGCTAAAAGTATACCAGAATACATTCGTGTGTAGAAGGTAGTTATGCTAAAAGTATACCATATTACATTAGAAAGGTAGTTATGCTAAAAGTATACCATATTACATTAGAAAGGTAGTTATGCTTAGAGTATACCAGATTACATTATTGTTTAGAAAGGTATTTATACTTAAAGTACACCAGATTACATTAGTGTGTAGAAAGGTAGTTGTGCTTAGAGTATATCATATTACATTAGAACGGTAGTTATGCTTAAAGTATACCAGATTACATTAATGTGTAGAACGGTAGTTATGCTTAAAGTATACCAGATTACATTAATGTGTAGAACGGTAGTTATGCTTAAAGAATACCAGATTACATTATTGTTTAGAATAGTATTTATACTTAAAGTACACCAGATTACATTAGTGTGTAGAAAGGTATTTATACTTAAAGTACACCAGATTACATTAGTGTGTAGAAAGGTAGTTATGCTTAGCTTTTACCAGATTACCCTAGCGTGTAGTAAGGTAGTCATACTATAACACAATATGTGGGAAACTTAAATTCATTACTAGAAGTTTATAAGTCATAAGTTTGAAATGAAAAAGTTTTATCTTTTGGATAATCTGTGTAATTTCATATTTCAAATCATTTACCATCTCTACACTTAAGTTTGAAATGAAAAAGTTTTATCTTTTGGATAATCTGCGTAATTTCATATTTCAAATCATTTACCATCTCTGCACTTAAGTTTGAAAGGAAAATGTTTTATCTTTTGGATAATCTGTGTAATTTCATATTTCAAATCATTTACCATATCTGCACTTAAGTTTGAAAGGAAAATGTTTTATCTTTTGGATAATCTGTGTAATTTCATATTTCAAATCATTTACCATCTCTGCACATAAGTTTGAAATGAAAAAGTTTTATCTTTTGGATAATCTGTGTAATTTCATATTTCAAATCATTTACCAACTCTGCAAACACTCTGTTTTTACCTAACTTTCTGATTTTTCGAATACTGTCATGAATATGTGTTTTATAAGTAGGCAGGAAATGAGAAAAAAACGTGGGTAAAATATTACAAATCAGTTTACATTTGTATTTATGTGTCGTACCATGAATGAAGCATAATAAGTAGTGTACGTGATTTACTACACATAATTTCCCCAACCAGTATAGCTGAATGAAGGATAGGAGAGCTCATTAATTTATTCTTAAGGTAGGATGTGTGTGTATCTCTCGCGAGAATTCACAGAAAGATTACTTTTAAACACTAAGTACTGATATTCGAGATTTCTGAATATGAAGATCTATATATAATAAAACAATAACGACGGCAAACGGAGATTTTGTAGAAGAAAGCAGCATTGGGCTATCTGCTACGTCTACCGCGGGGAATCGAGCCTCGGATTGTACTGTTGTAACCCCGTAAACTTACTGCTGTCCCACCGGAGAGCTAAACAAATGATTCTTAATTTTATTGACTGACAATTGTTTTATTCTCTTTTTCAAAAAATTGATGTCAAAGCTGAGGGAAATAATAACTGATGCTTTCCCTAAGAAATCAGTAGAGTTAGCTCCAGTATACGAAGTGTCCTTTAAATGCCACGTACATGCACGAGAAGCGTCTGGTGCGCGTGAGTGCAAGCGTGTTTTGAAACCCATTATGAGATATATACATACAATCGAACAGCCTGCACCAGGGAGAAAAGTGCACGTATCTGAATAGCCGCATCTCGTGCAGCAGCAGCACCACCAGTAGTTGTAGTAGGCTTCAGAATTCTAGTAACTTCCGCACGGTGGAGCTCGACTAAGAACGCTGACGACATACTTAGATCTTGGCTTGAGAACTAGAATTTTTGTAGACTCATTTCCCCTCTCTTTTGCCAACTGGAAAGTTTTGGGAATAATACAAATCCTCCGCACCTGCGTGCTGACCTTACTAGCACTAGATAACTATTTATTGAATTTCTCATTTGTGGTTCCATCATTAAAGAACACAATACTGAGCTAGTAAGAATAACAGAGAGGAGAAAGAAAGAGCTTATATACTGGTTATAGAACAATGTCACGGTTAACTGTTAAAGGAACAGATAGTTACTACTTCCCCAGAAGTCAGTCTGCTAGCAGCCATTCTCAGTTCTTCATAGCAGGAGGTCAAGGTCAGAAGGTAAGCAACCTTTATGAACAGGCGTAGAATGTATAACAATATGTCAACCATTGTTGGTGTGGACTTTCGCTTAATACCACAGTGCGTCAGGGCGACTGTGACATGACACATACAGTAGTGGTTGAGACGCTATGTATATTAACATATTATGGTGTGAACTATATATATATTAAGAGATTATGGTGTGAACTAGATTGAGTTTGTAATGTATAATGTATATGAATTTCATGTGAGCAGTTACTAATCAGAATTAGGATGATGATTAATAAGACAATATCATTTATTAATTGTAAAAACAGTTGTTTATTAGCTGAAGTTGCAATTGAATATGTTCTTTGTAAACCAAGGTTACAATGAATATGTTATGCGTAACCTGAATTTTCGCACTTACTTCACTGGTTAAGTATTCATCCAATTTCTTTTTTCCTGGGTCATCAAATTAAAGAACACAAACCTGATGAACTGGTAAGAATAAATGAGAGAATATTGCGTTTATACGCTGTGGCTTGAGAGTTTTCCAGATAAGTTGAGATATTGGAATTTAAGTTTGCTTTAGAAGTTAATTTATGTCTTGGAAGTTAAGTTTGGCTTTAGAAATTTATTTCTGTCTTGGAAGTTAAGTTTGGCTTTGGAAGTTAACTTCTGTCTTGGATGTTTAGTTCGGCGTTGGAAGTTAGTTTATATTCTTGGAAGTTCATTTTGTCTTGGGAAGTTAAGTTTACCTTTGGAAGTTATGTTTGTGGCTTTGAAGTTCAATGGCGTATTTCATGTTACGTTTGTGTTTTGGGAGCTAAACTGGGGTATTGAATTTTGAAACTGAGGTATAGGAAATTTCGTTAGCATCTTAGAAATTAAACTACAGTCTTAGGAGTCACGTTTTGCTTTGAAAGTTAAGTTTCTGGCATTGTAAGTATAATTTGAGGTCTTGAGAATAGTTGGAGCAATAGAAGATAATTTTGGGTTTTGCAGTTACGTTAACATTTTGGGCGTTTATTTAGGATCGAGGAAGGTAAGATAGGATCTTGGAAGCTATGCTCGAGAGTTGGAAGCTTGTTAGGATTTTGTAGGTTAATTTGGTATTTTGGAAGCTAATTTGGGACCGTGGTAGTTAAATATAGATCCAGGAAATAAAATTGGCGTCTTATAAATTAAGCCGTGGTCTTGAAAGGTAAATTGGAATTAAAGTTGGTGCCTTGGAAGCTTTCCAGACAAAGTAAAAAAACACTCTTCATGTTCCCAAGCTATCTCAACATTTTGTGTTAAATTACTTTCAGTTATCTTTTTTAAAAGATAAGGAATGAAACTTGCTTTGAACTACTTATATTTATGTCAAGGATTTTAAAAGATCTAACTTGACCAGAAGGAAATGTTTCGTTGTTTTTGTTTTATAATGCACATGATTCTAAGCGCGTGACGTCAGCTAGTTATTGATTTCCTCTATTTTAGTTATCCCTGGTCTTTATTTATGGAACAGTGTTCTATCTATCAAAGTTATGCGATGAAGTGAAAGTATGACAAACGTGTTTTTGTCGTGCTTGCAACGAATCTCATTTTATCAGAATATATCACACACGTATATATAAATGGAATGGATATTCTACCATTTCTTCAAAGCACAGATTATGTTAAAAGTATTAGACACAGGGGCAAAAAAATAATATTATATTCGTAACGACAAATAAGCTAGAACTAATCTCATTTGATGTTAACAGTAAACATAAACCAGTTAAACATAAAAATAATGTTTTAAATATAGTTTATCTAATGGCGCCATCTTACCTTGTATTTGGCTTTGTTGTTTCCCCTAGACACGTTTGATACGTCATTTTTTCTTCTTCTTATTGTTATATTTTCATTGTTGATATGACACCTGGAATGTAAGCTAAGTACCGTTGATAAGGGAAGTTTATTATTGTTATGATATTATAATTATTTTTCATGGTTGTTCACGTAGAAAATGATTTAACGTGACACTGAAGCTTTAACTAGCTATATTTAGCTTTATTTATCAGGATAATGGACAACTCTTTATTTATCATGATGCCAGACAATCCTTTATTTATCAGTATACTGGACAACTCTTTATTTATCAGGATACTATGCAATTCTTTATTTATTAGTATACTGGACACCTCTTTATTTATCAGGATACTTGACAACTCTTTATTTGTCAGGATACTAGATAATTCTCTGTTTTTTTAGGATATAGACAAATCTTTCTTTCTAAGGATACTAAACAATTCTCTATTTATCAGGATACTAGACAATTCTTTATTTATCAGGATGCTAGCCAATTCTTTATTTATCAGTATACTGGACAAGTCTTTATTTATTAGGATACTAGACAACTCTTTATTTATCAGGATACTAGACAACTCTTCGTTTGTCAAGATACTAGACAACTCTTCGTTTTTTAGGATATAGACAAATCTTTCTTTCTAAGGATGATATACAATTCTCTATTTATCAGGATATTAGCCAATTCTTTATTTATCAGGATACTAGACAATTCTTTATTTGTCAGTATTCTAGAGAACTCTTTATCAGTATTTTAGACATTTCTTTATTTATCAGAATACTAGAAAATTTCTCATGTATCATGATACTAGATAACTTTTCATTTCTCAGGATACTAGATAACTCTTTATTTATCAGGATACCAGACAACTCTTCGTTTGTCAGTATACAAGACAACTCTTTATCAGTAATCTAGACATTTTTTTATTTATCAGGATACAAAAAACGTCTTATTTATCAGGATACTAGACAACTCTTTATTTATCACTATACTAAACAACTCTTCATTTATCAGTATACTAGACAACTTTTCATTTGTCAGGATACTAGACAACTCTTTATTTGTCAGTAATCTAGACAACTCTTCATTTATACTAGACAACTCTTTGTTTGTTAGGATACTAAACAAGTCTTTCTTTATCAGGATACTAGATAATTATTTATTTATTAGGATACTAGAGAACTCTTCATTTCTAAGGGTAGTAGACAAATCTTTGTTTATCAGAATATTAGACAACTCTTTCTTGTTAGGGTACTAGACAAACTTAGCTATATCAGGATACTAGACAAGCCTGTCTATATCAGGATACTAGACAATTCCTTATTTATTAGGATACTAGACAACGCTTTGTTTGTCAGTATTCTAGACAATTTTTTTTATTAGGATAGTAGAAAACTCTTGAAACATGAAGACTTATGCTGGAGTTTATGAAAACGGTTTGAAAGGGTCTCGTGAAACATAATGATTTATAGAGAAGTACATAAAACGTCTTTAAACCAAGAATCTGAAATATGCCGACACATACATGCTTGAAACGAAGCACGTAATACATGGCGTCACATGGTGGAGTATATGAAACACCATGAAAAGAAAAGCTTGAAAAATGTCTTTAGATAGCCGTGTATGTAATACACTTTGAAACGAAGCACGTGATAACGTGGTGTGACCTAGTGGTGTATATAATACACCTTGAAATGAAGCATGTGAAATATGACGACACATGATGAGTTATATAAAACACCTTCAGCTGAAGTATGTGAAACATGACGACACATGATCGAGTATATAAAGCGTCTTAAAACGAAGCACCTGAAATATGAGTATTCATATTGGAATATATAAAACACCTTAAAAGGAAGTACGTGAAACATGACGACACATGGTGGGAGTATATATAAAACGCTTTGAAACGAACACGTGAAGCATGATTAAACGAATCGAGAAATAATAGAGTTTTTAATGACTTATATATAAAAACTGAAAGAAATGAATATTAAATTAAAATTATTTATGAATACGCTTGCAATACTGAGAAAATATCGAAACAGATGAAAACACGTTTATAGTAAAATAAAACATTAAGTCACTGGAAAAAAAGAGAACCATCAGGTGAAGTGGGGTGAAACTAAAACCGACAGGAGTTTTATAAGTACTTAACAAGGCTAAAAATTAACCTTAATTCTAACAAAATCATTTTGATTATTGAAAATAACATTTTAAAAACAAAAATAAAATGATGTCAGTTATGGAGCTGTTCTAAAGCCACCATTACAGTTTATTGCACGGAAAGTATTTAAGGAAAGTCTTAAGAAAATATCAAATCTACTTAATATAGTAATTGAAGCTTTAAAACAGTTTAATTTTGAAGCAGCAAGTATCCGATTGAAAACATCTATATGCTTGGAAATAGAAAACTCACAATTAAAAATAACTGTAAGGATGTAGAATATGGATGTTATGAAAAAGGTCAAAGTTCAATAATGATGATTCTCTATTGTTTTTAAATTACCTAATTACAGAAAACGGTTCTTTTCAATATTTTATATTTCTTCGTGTTTATTATCTATACTATTCTGTCGAGTGTTTTATTTAGTAAATTAGACAAGATATATTTTTCAAAACGTAAAATTACTTCTTTTTCTGTTTGCTTTTGTTCAAGGGCAAAGCTGCACTAGGGATTCAACCCGAAAGTTTAGCGTTGTAACCCCTCATGCTTAATTATGAGCGACCGTGCGGCAAAATACACTACTGATTTGTTTGTAATTAAGAAAAAAGCTATACGATAGGCTATTTGTGCTCTGCCCAACATGGGTATAGAAACCCGGTCTTTAGTGTTGTAAGTCCACAGATGTACCGCTGTGCCACTGGAGGGTATATAGTATAGACCTAATACTAATGTCTTATGGCAAGTATAATCACGTTTTGTCAGCTGATAAATTGTTGTTGCAACAAATTCCTTATATAAATATTTCCATACTTTAATCCTTAGCTATTTGTTTGCGTCCAAATTTCGTCAGTAATGACGTCATTGAAGTGAGGGAGATTTTAAATAAGACTGACATAACAACTGCAATGGAAACGTGTAACATGCGATGCGCATTAGCCTGTACACGTCATCAAATGACGTTTACTGGAAATCTTCTTTTTTAATGATCTGTTAAAGCTCCTATATCGTGTTAAGATCTATCAGTTAACCAAAATA